ATCTGATTCTCCGCTTCTGTCATTAGTATAAGTATAGCTTTCATCATTTAACATTATTAAGTTAAAAGTATTGATAATATTTAATAATTTCCATTTTCATTCTTTTCTTTTACATTCAAAACCAGTACTCTTACTATTTAAATTTCCTAATATCAACAGATTTGAATTGTATCTTATCAAATTTGAAAAACAAAATCACAATCTGGGTACTTTTTCGACGAAATACATAAATTAGCAAAGACAGTATAGAAGAGGTGATCCGTGCAAGAAGACAGGGAAGAAATAGAAGGGAGAGGTATAGGTGTGAACACACAGTCCTCCTCACGTGATACAGATGGAAGAGGAAAGCATGATCAGGATGGAGGATTACATAGCAGCAGTTAAAAAACAATGTGCGAAGAATCAATGGCATACATGTCAGAATGTTGATAAACACATGCAAAAGGATGAGGATGTAGGCTTTAAGGGAGAAGTAATATAAGGTCAGAAAGCGAAAGTGTCCCAGGGATTAGTGTAAAGGCATGGAAGAAAACACTAAGGTCCCAGTCAAGTAGACTTGAAGGACAATAAAGGTGAAAGGAATGAAAAGGCCTAATAATGACCAGAAAGGAAAAAAAAATCCTGATTGTATCGGGAACACCAGAAAGTAGTAAAAATCGACCTGGTATCCAGCACTAATCAAAATTTATAAACTCTGGTTGAAAAGCCCAGTGAAATACACAGATGGGTATTTGAAGGACGAGAAGAGGAAAAAGAACGACTTAGTGACCAATGGCAAAACTATGCCACTTCTGCTAATACATGATGGTGGACAGGCAAACAGAATGGGAAGGGAGGGAAGCTACAAGTGAAAAAAAAAGTTGTAAACGTCATGCAAGGAACGAGACAGATGAGAGAGAGAGTGAACTACAAGGCTGAAGAATAGTGTAGTAGAATGGAAGAGGAGGACAACAGAGGAAACCACAATTTAGTCGTCCAGTAGAGCACTTCTAGAAGGATCTGACAAGGAATATTTTGAATGAAGAAGATAAGACGAAGGAGAGAACAGAGGGGCAAATCTAAAGGAGAAAGTTGAACCAGTTCTAACTAAATGCATCCACTGCTGGTGGATGCAAGACAGAATACCAGCAGAGGGGAAGCATGGTATTGTAGTAAGTGGCTAAGGCATCAATGTAAGAGGTGCCCAGACCAGAGCACAGCATTTGAAAGACACAAGATTGTAAGGAACACTCCATGGGAAAAATCTTGTTTGGCCAAGAAAGAATTTTGCAACATGGTTCATGGCACCCAGAATATAACAGGACACAAGAAAAACATGCAAAAAATAACCCAGAAGAGGAGGTCAAAGGTTCTGAAACAGAAAACAAGACCAAGTACCACCGTGGTGATTGATATAGGATAACACAGATGAGTTGGCCATATGAATCATTACCAAACAGCCACGCATATCAATCGAAGAAAATGATCCAAAGCCCAACAAACTTCTAAAAACACCAGGAGGTTGGTATGAAGGGCAATTCCTCCAGAACCCATTGATCCAAAACCCCAAAGTAGTCAAGACAAGCACTTCATCCCATCAGGGTAGCATCTGTAAAAAGATGAAGATCCAGATGAGGACTAGGAACATCATCTTGAGCAACGGTGCTGTCGAACCACCAGGTGAATACATTGTGTAGATAAGGAGGAAGATGAATAAGGTAGGACAAGGGATCCCAAGAGAGGTTTCATGGATTGTGCTGAGTTTATTGCAAAAGATACATATGAGCATGTCCCAAGAGGACAAAGAGTGCTATAGAAGCCAAAGCCCTCCAGAAGAAAGAGAACATCCCATGCAGGAAGAAAAGGATAGGATAGAGCTGTGGAAATCCAAACGTACCATGGCTCACCAATGAAGCAGAGACAACGGAGCTCAACAGAGATGGGATATGAAGAACACACTCTAATGAACCAGATACTAAATGATGCTATATGAAACCTCTCCAACTTGACCTCCAAACAAAACAAGCTGATGGAACAGAGTGAAATTCTAGAAAAGGATGTGAAACCCTTTCAATAGCATTCTTGGAAAACATGCCTGAAAGTGCCACTGAAAAGACATCAATTCCCATGGAAGAGTATAGGGAACGGGAACATAAGAAAATGGAGGAAGTGGGGAAAAAATTAAGAGTAAGACCCTCAATAAAACTTGTATCACACAATGGTCGGCCTCAAATGGAAGCCATAGATCAGCAAACTAAGGCAATGAGGCTCCTACTGGCCCTCAGCCTATAGGATAGACACCAACGAGATTGTTTGCAAAAAGAACTATACACAATAGAAGCAGAGGAATAGGAGATGTAGGAGGGTAGGATAATATAACTGATAAAAAAAGAAACTATAATGAATGTTGATGGGCAGCTTTAACCTGGGAATCCAGAGAATAAGGTACTCTACCAAAAAAAAGAAAAAACTTAGCAGAAGAAGGGAGCCAGACAAAGATCCCGAGATAAAAGGGAGACCAACATACCTAAGCAAGTAAGGCATCCCTCCCCAAAAAATCTCAGCAACAATGCAACCAAGTCAGAAGGAGCCAGGCCAAGAAAGAAGAACGTAACAATGTTGAAAAAATAAAGGAACAATTATCCCTCCAAAAATCCCCAGGAGCATGGTGAATTGCTTTGGAAAGAATGGGAGGAAAATAATGCAACAGGGTAGTGAGGATAAGACAAAGGCACGAAATGCGGACCTGGGAAAGTCAAACAGAAGATCTGACCCCCAAAGACTGAAGAAGAGATTTCAGAGTTTTGGGAGTCTAAGAAAGGGAATACAGCCTGATGTTCAACCAAGGTATACATATCAACTGGTCAAGAAGGACGAGACATTCCTGCACTGGAACAAAGTTGAGATAAAATGTGTTCAATATAGACTTTAATATCTAGAGAGAGAGGGGAAAAAAGTCAGAAGTGGGTGATGAATTAAGAAGTGAAGGAGAAGAATCATATGGGACAGGAGAGAAAGAAAGATATAGCATACCTGAGAAACCTTTTTCAGAAATTACTAAAAAGGCCTGGGTAGATTCACAACAAAATTAGAAGATTTAGCAAAGGTAGGTGATGAGAAAAGACTGTTGAAATCTCCTTCATCAAATAGAACCTAAATTAATATTGAAATCTCCTAAATCATAGTCATGACAAATTTAATAACTTAACTAAGGCTACTTCCCACATTAAAGATATTGCGATTCAATTACCTACAATTCTTTTTCCTCTGGCCAATGTCATATTTAGACAAGAAGTAATTCTGTTAAAAATGGCACACCTGTTCAAAGTGGTATTAGTGTCTTGGTTGTTACAGGTTACACTATTATCATAAGGTTTCATGTAGGTTACACTATCTGACCTTCACCCACTCATAAGCAACTTTCTCTTGCAAGTGATATATTTACAGAGGAGGCAAAACACTTTTTTTTATATATATTTTATTTTTGGCACAGATACAAAGTTTTAAATAAACTTACTGGTATCTAAACTGCTACTAAGATCTTAATTACTCAAAAAATCATTTAAAATTTATCAATATAATCTTTATAGAATTATAAAAATAGAAATCACTTGGATTAATCTGTATAAAAGTAGGTCCACTTTATGTCATGCATTATGCACTGAGCAAGACACTGTGTACGCATTCGATTTAAACAATAAAACATTAGATCTTCTTCCTATTATTCACTAGTTTTTGATTTACAGTTTGAGCTTATAACTTCCCTCCAAATACATCAAAAGGTATTTGCAAGAAATGTAGGCATTTCAGCAATACAAAACATGCTTGTTTACCTGAAATTACCTTAACAATCTCAACACAATGTTAACTGAAGGTACAAAATCAATAACACTTGGTTTACCTATAAATATGGTACTCAATTTCTGTAGACTGAAAAACAAAATTTGAACTAACGAAAGTTGAATAAATTGTGACAAATTATAAATGAATACATTTATAGAGTATAAAGACTGATTAAATGTAAATTGCAATAGTTCATGCTTAATATTTTCATGATAACCACATAGTCTACAGTTTAATCTTTACACTGCAGCTGGGAGGTACATTTCCCAGTGCACTGGGACATATACATCCCAGCCACAGTGAATGGGTTTAACAAATATCAGGTCTTAGTTACTCTGCAAGGCCAATACTCACGAAACCTACTGAAGGAGGCTTAGCATTCCTGCAAATAGAGAACTTTTATTTCTAGAATAGTTTTGGTTCAAAAACTCATTTTTTACATTAAAAGCACAAGTTTTAATACAATAATGAATCAATAACCTTTTGGTAAATTCACCATTCACATGTCCAATTTTTTATTTTTTTTTACATTTTCTTATGTAATACTGGTAACAAAGAATTCCAATGATGCCTCATATATTTTATTATAAAAATACATGTTTAGAAAAAGAAGCATTTATAAGTAAAACATTTTTAAAATTACTAAAATGTGTAGAAAAATTTCATGAAATGAATAATCCATCAAACAAAAATGTAAAAACGCATGGGAAAATTACAAGATGGATAAAATCCTCTCTCTGAAAGCACTAGAAAAATGTTTTAAGAGGAAAGTACTAAGGCAAAACATTATAAAAATAAGCCATACACATTGAAAGTTTGAAATCCACATAGTTAGTGCATCAGTACAAAAATTAGTATGCATGTATTCAAAACAAAATTCACCCAAAAAAGCTTCTATAGTAGTCATGCTAAATCTATCACAGAAGTTAGCAATAAAATCGAGTGACTATAAATCATGTGGTAAATCCTTCAATGAAGGAAATACAAAAATCTGATTTCAAGCTACTCAGATAGCTCAGTCAGAGGAATCAGTACAATAAACTACATAATTTGGAAGAGACACTCGTGTAAGATGAATAAATGGAATTACCACAACTATATTATACGAACCACATAGCTACAAAAGTAGCTGTCAAATAAAAAAATCTCCAGGAAACTACAATCACAGTTTGAAAGACATCTGTGTTGTGCATAAACAAATCACCCCCGCATACAGATGCTTCTATGGATCTATATACTGATTAAAAAAAATAAACTATGAACACTAAAACAAAAAAAGACACTTAAATCACAACTTAAGACTGCATATAAGCATCCCAAACATGGTCATGTAATTTTTGTAATCATACATACATACATACATATTCTACATAATGTAAAACAATCATCACTATATTTTTTTAAATACGCAACTGAAAGTTAATCATATCATTGACAATTAAAATAAATTTGTCATATAACTACTTCTACACATGATCATCACTCAATGAATACTTAACTTGGTTTTGTATAAATAAACACTGTTATTATTTACTGATATATATAAACACTACAAAAAAAATTTCAAAGTTGACAAGCTTTTCCATCAGGAGAATTTGTAACTGATCAATTCAACTCTAAAGTATTGAAGCTTTTTATGGTGAGAAATCTACTGACAGCAAGGTGAAGTTGGAGAATCTGTGAATTTTTTAATTACAATTCATGAGTTTAAAAGTGAAAACATATTATCAAAACCTTCACATTTTTACCTGGCTTCTTTGCTGCGAATAATCCTGGTGGCCTTATGCAGATTTATCATGCTGACACGTTTTCTCTGACCCGGTGCTTACAAAAATAGACAATACCTTATTTTCTTAAAGCAGTAATTTTGATTTATGTTGTCTATGACCTACAAATTACTTACATTAAAATTGCTGTTTCTCTAGCACTACATAAAACTTTAAAATGTTCATTTATTAAGACTGCAAAAAAATATGAGCAAACCCTATCCAAATTATTGTTGAAGTATATACCAAGCTTTAAAAAAATGACAGCTGATTACGTGCATACATTCTTTGTATTAAACACTAGATGATTGAAACTTTTTTAATATAAAAATAAATATTCATCACTATGTATGCCTTTCTTGGCTAGCAACATAAAACATCCAACTGGTTCTTAAAATATGGAAGCCTTAGAACTGTAAACAATTTTCACTTTATTATAGTTTCTGATACTGAAACCTGTTTGTAGGCTGACTTCTTTTAAGCTTACAAAAAATTAGCATCTAGAACTAACAGTGGCATTGTTATAGCTCACAAAAATTACACGTCCTTTCCCATAAACAGCTTCCTTCATTGGTGGGTGTAGGCTAATACAGCTAACTTAACATAAAATTAGCAACTCCTTTGAAATAAAATATTCAATACATACAAAATGATTAAATAAGTGTTAAATGAACACTTTTACTTCAAAAAAATGTGTGCATATAATTTTCCATTTACTAGTAGATATTGCTACAATAGCTATATTTTGGAATATTTGGGTAATCAATTATTAAGACTAAAAAAAAAGTGAAGTTAGAATACATCATCAGGCAACTTCAACAGCACTTGAACACAATGGAGAGTACTTTGTAAGATTGCTGTTGCTTTCCACTCTGCTCAGGTGTACATCAACAGGCACCACCTCTGTATTGTTAGTTTTATATCCTGTCCCAACATTACTATCATAGATCTTTTCTTTATCGGTTTCCTATACAATTAAGAGAGAATAACTCAGTAAATTAAAAGAATAACAAAGGTATTTTCTCCATTTATGAAAACAGGAAAAAAAACATATAGTTTTAATTTTGGAAAATAAATTATCTGTAGATTAACAGAAATTAAAGCACAACTATAAACTTTTGCTCTGACTAACATAATATGCAACCATAAAAGATTAACTATTTTAATCGAACTGGTGTATTTAAGTGTTTCACACTCACAAAGAAAAACTATCATTCTATAGGTATTTGAAGAACTTGTAGAAATCCGCCACAATTTAAGTCTTCGGGAAATTGAGTAACTTCCATTATAAACTGTTGTTTACAGGTATATAAATTAAGGGACAATGAGTAACTTCCATTATAAACTGTTGTTTACAGGTATATAAATTAAGGGACAATGAGTAACTTCCATT